TCTATTACAAGCTTAAAATGTCCATGTTTAATCTAGAACAGACAAAAATTGTATCTTAGCACTAACATACTGTTAAAAACTCGCTAGGCAGCGCTAGAGGAAGTTAGCATTATTGTACAGGTGGGGGTTTTCTTATTTTTTTATACTAATTTCTGGCATTTATGGCCCAAACTGAAGGCGAAGTTTAATAGTCACAGTTCGCCACTGCTTTAAAAGGCTTAGTTAGCTACATTACGGCTAACCCTATCATGTGGAGGCTGTACTTTAGTTTGGCTCGCACTGTAATATTTTAACATGCTTTAAAATGGTGCTATGCTTCAAGCATAAATACAGTAATAAAAATAATATAGGTGTGAATTCTGTGACTTACACATGCATTTTGATAGTATGTAAACAGACTTCAGGGTGAATTTTGACAAATATGTGTCAGATTGCTGTGAAACTTCACAGATAATGTTGCTATGGGAAAACGAGTGATTAGAAGCACATCCTTGAACCTGTTTAGCTACATGAAATATCCATGTTACATGTTAGATTGTGCCTTGCACTCCACTAGTATTGCGCAGAGCAATCTATAGGAGCAGAGAACAGAAAGGACAGACAGGTCTATAGAAAGTGCAAAGGCATGTCTGTGGTAACGTGTTCATGTTTAAGTTTGTGTGTGTGTGTGTGTGTGTGCGTGCCTTGGTCATTTCAGAGGTCAGAGTGCAATCAGAAGCTTCTCAGACTAAACCCCACCCTCATTACAAGGTCAAAGGTCAAGCCCCCAAAGAGTCTCCAATAAGCTTAAGGACATTGCGTTTGGGTTGCCAATGGACCCGCTGGCAGGTGGGTAGCAGGTTTGCCTTGCCTTGACACACATACGCACATACACACACACACACCCACACACACACATACTCCTAATTACATCGAACCCCCCCTCACCTCATCCCTTCCTCTTTCTCTCAAACCATCCTTCCTTTCCTGCCTCACTCTCACATTTCCCACAGGTCACTTGTATCATTTTCTCACACTTTAATCCCCCTAAATTAGATAAATGTTTACTTACTATCTACTGCTGGACTCTGATAGCTGCATAGTGCTCACAGACAACATGCCTTGAAACATGCGTTAAAGAGGGGTTTTATCCAGTGTTTGCCGTGTTTCATTTCAGAACGCATATAAACTAAATAACATTCAGGAGCTCTCAGTATCCCAGCTGAGGTGTGTTAAAGCCAGAGGACCAACGAACACCAGCAAACCCAAACGTTTGGTTTGTGTACTACATCTGTGTGTGATTGTTGACAGACTCTAGAATGATCACCACCATTCACATTGTTCTAGAATGTTCTCTCCTATTCACACTGTCCTTGAATAATCTTCTCCTTTCGTACTATCCTAGAACTCCTCATTCACATGGTTCTAGAATGATATTTCCTCATTTACACTGTTCTGGTATGATCCCCCACCACTCACTCTGTTCTAGAATGATCTCTTGCCATTCACAAAGTTCTAGAATGTTCTCCCCCATTCACTCTTTTCTAAAATGACCAACCCACTCACTCTGTTCTAAAATGATCTCTTCCCATTCAAAAAGATCTAGAATGTTCTCACCATTCAATCTATTCTAGAATGCCCCCACTCGCTCTGTTCTAGAATGATCTCTTATCATTAAAAAAGTTCTGAAATGTTCTCCCCACTCACTCTTTTCTAGAATATTCTCCCTCACTCACTCTGTTCTAGAATACTCTCCCCACAATTTACACTGTTTAGAATGTTCTTCCACATTCATTCTGTTTTCCATGCCATTCAGTCTGCTCTACAATGTTTTTGCTGCTCAGACTGTCCTAGAACGATCTCCCCCATTTACACTTTTCTAGCATTATCTCCTTCCACACTGTTGTAGGATTTTTACTGCCATTCACTTTGTTCTAGTATAATCTGCCTCATTTACAATGTTCCAGAATGCTCTCTCTCTATTTACTGTTCAAGAATGATATTCTAGAGTGATCTCCTCCTATTTACACTGTTCTAGAGTGATCTCCTCCTTTTCAGACTGTTCTGTGATTTTTTTTTCTGTTGTTTTCCTGCTGTCTTTCTCATCCTGTTCTAGAATGTTCCCCATTCACATCGTTCTAGAATTTTCTCTCTGCAGTTCACAGTCCTATAATGATCACGCTCATTCACACTGTTCTAGAATGATCTCCCTCTATTTACAGTGCTCTTGAATGTTCTCCCCTACCTTTGACACATCTAGCATGTTCTCCCACATTTTTCTTGTTCAAGAATGTTCTCCCCATTCACATTGTTCTAGAGGTTCTCTACACCATTTACACTGTTCTAAAATGTACTTCCTTATTCTTACTGCCCTAGAACGATCTCCCCAGCTCACACTGTTTTAGATTGATCTCTCACTGTTCTACAGTGATCTCCTCCTATCCACACTGTTCTAGAGTGATCTCCTATCCATGCTGTTCTAGAATGATCTCCTCCTATTCACACTGTTCTAGAGGTTCTCTATGCCATTTACACTGTTCTAAAATGTACTTCCATATTCTTACTGTCCTAGAACAATCTTCCCAGCTCACAGCGTTTTAGATTGATCTCACACTGTTCTACAGTGATCTCTTCCTATCTATGCTGTTCTAGAGTGATCTCCTCCTATCCACACTGTTCTAGAGTGATCTTCTTTTATCCACACTGTTCTAGAGCGATTTCTTCTCATTCCTCCTATCCACACTGTTCTAGAGTGATTTCTTTTTATTCACACTGTTCTAGAGTGAGCTCCTCCTATTCACATTGCTCTAATTCTTCCCAGTTCATATTGGTTAATTTAGTTATTTGTTATTTACACTGTTCTAAAATGTACTTCCATATTCTTACTGTCCTAGAACGATTTCCCCAGCTCACACTGTTTTAGATTGATCTCACACTGTTCTAGAGTGATCTCCTCCTATCCCCACTGTTCTAGAGTGATCTCCTCCTATCCACACTGTTCTAGAGTGATTTCGTCTTATTCCTCCTATCCACACTGTTCTAGAGTGATTTCTTTTTATTCACACTGTTCTAGAGTGATCTCCTCCTATCCACACTGTTCTAGAGTGATCTTCTCCTATCCACACTATTCTAGAGTGATTTCTTTTTATTCACACTGTTCTAGAGTAATCTCCCCCTATCCACACTGTTCTAGAGTGATCTCCTCCTATCCCCACTGTTCTAGAGTGATCTCCTCCTATCCACACTGTTCTGGAGTGATCTTCTCCTATCCACACTGTTCTAGAGTGATTTCTTTTTATTCACACTGTTCTAGAGTGATTTCTTTTTATTCACACTGTTCTAGAGTGATCTCCTCTTATTCACACTGTTCTAGAAAGACCTCCTCCTATTCACATTGCTCTAATTCTTCCCAGTTCACATTGGTTAATTTAGTTATTTGTTATTTACACTGTTCTAAAATGTACTTCCATATTCTTACTGTCCTAGAACGATTTCCCCAGCTCACACTGTTTTAGATTGATCTCTCACTGTTCTAGAGTACTCTCCTCCTATCCACACTGTTCTAGAGTGATCTCCTATCCACACTGTTCTAGAGTAATCTCCTCCTATCCACACTGTTCTAGAGTGATCTCCTATCCACACTGTTCTAGAGTGATCTCCCTCATTCACATTGCTCTAATTCTTCCCAGTTCACATTGGTTAATTTAGCTATTTGTTATCACACTGGTTCATTTACTAATCTTTTAATATTTCTAAAAATTCTAAATCAGCTGCAAACTTCCTATCATTCCTGTTTGTTCTCTGGCCCTGAGAGACTCAGGTGTGATTGAAGCTGGAGAAGAATAAAAGCAGCCCTGGACTGAAAAGTCTCCGTCTAAAGTTTACGCAGATCTGCACGCAAATTATAAGCAAACAAAAGTTGCACCACTTCTCTCTCTGCCCTCACTCATGTCCAATTTCGCGTTGCTATGACTACAGGACGCTCTGCACAGAACTCCAGTGTCTAATCACAGTCATTTGAAAAGGATGTTGACGTCATGCGTTCCTCTTTGGCGCCTGTTTTTCGGTGAAGACTTTCCCATCGCGGGTAAAATCCCTCAATATGGAGATCACTTCTGACAATCAGGAATGAGTGGAAGACCGTGACCCCCTCACGAGCCTGCGTACATGCCCAGAGCCCCCTGACTATAAGCAACACACTGCAAGACTTAATTAAAGTCTATTTGAAAGAGAGAGAGAGAGAGAGAGAGAGAGACTATATACACACTATATACGACACTTAATTAAAGTCCATTTGAATGAGAGAGAGAGGAGAGAGAGAGAAGGAATGTTCGCGTGTATTCTCCCCCACCCGTTTTCCGACAAGCCCCGCCTCCTGCCTTGACTGATTAGTTGTTCATACCTACTGCTAGTACGAATGAGTTGAGGTGGAATAATAATGGCATCTATGTGAAATTAAAGCCGTTTCTTGCTATAAGCGACATAAACAGTCACGTAGCGCAGCATAGGCTATATATAGTTTTGCTTTTTCGTTTGTTTAGTTTTGCTTTAATCAATACAATCACGTCATATATTGACACAAATACCTTATTTACAAAATCAGGCAAGCACAAATGATGGACATGGTTGCCATTTCAGTATATATCCAGTATAGGGTCACTGTACCAGTATAGGTCACTGTGGCAGTATAGGTCACTGTGGTAGCATAATTATTCCTGCTGAAAAATAAGGAACCATTAATTAATTATTTCTTCCATGCAAAATAACATGATTAATGTGATTGATGTGAGCCTCTCCAGTAGGTTAAAGGTAAAAACTTTTAACGTAACGTTTCCCACCCGTATTTCGATAAGCCCTGCATCCTGCGCTAGAGCTCCTGGCGGAATACGGGTGGAGTAGAGAACACAATCGCAGACAGCTCGGCTGTAACGGTATGGTCTCGCGCTGCTGTATGACTCCACGAGGGCGGGGCACTCAGAGAGAGCGAGCGAGAGAGAGAGCGCGCGCGCGAGAGAGAGCAGTGTCTGGGAAAGCCGCACGCACGTTCCAGCAGCCGGGTCGCGCGCTACCTGAGCCGCTACGTGAACATAACGGCCAAAAAATGGAACTTTCGGTTTTCTCATCTTCTTACTTTTTATTGGCTCTCGCGCTGACAACGACGTTAGCAACCAAAACGAACGTTCCACGACTTCGCCTCTCCTATAAAGGTAAAAAGGCTTATTTTCCATTTTTTTAATTGCAAATGTATTTATAGACAGTTTAACATCACATTTATAAAAGAAGAAACAAGCTTGGTTTAATGTTTGGTAGATGCGCAGCAGAATACCGGGAGAGCTGGAGTCACTTTATTAAAACTGAATCCTATTTATTAGCCTGTTTGTTTTGTTTCGTTTATTTCTGTTAGAGATTTTACCAACCGTGAACCTAAATGTCAAGTATTGATGGAGCTACTACTGAATTACAGACTTATATGGTAGTAAGATCTGAAAGTATTCACTGTTTATTTAATAAATGCCATAATGTAGCAGAAATGGTGGGAAATGACTAAGTCGAGCAGGCTAAGGGGAAGGAACCTGGACAGTGCCAAATCAAAGAACAGAAAATAAAACTAGCCATGTACTGTTGGATACTTACCCTGCTTAAAAAGGACCATTAGAATCCATTAAGATAAGACCCCAATTGTTTTGCTTTCCAAGGGAATTGGCTTAATAGATTCCAACAGACATCACTAGTTTCCTGTAGACCACCTTTAAATCCCTTTAGGAAACCATTGAAGGCATGTAGAATCAGCCACTGGTCACCTGTTCAACTATTAGGATCCTTTACATTATGATATCAACCCATTATAAAAGCCCAACACATTGCAAAAGCATCAGGAACCAACAGAAACACTTATTGGTTTCTATGGGGTTTTTCAGCAAGTTACTTAGAAACGAAACTGCCTAGCTGTCTGTGTAGAACCCATAATAATCACATGACACATCAACTGTGCTTTCCAGTATGTTCAGTCACTCCTTTAGAAATGTTCTTCAAGGGTTCTTCAGTGAGGGCAATAGTTAGGACCACGAACTGTTGGAATGCTTCGGGTGCTTTGCATGGTTAAAGGCTTCATCTCTATAAGACCCTTTTAAAATGGTTCTATAAAGTAGCAACATGGGTTCAGAAGTTATTACAAGTCTTAGAACCTTTGTTAGAACTATATAGAACCCTTTTCACTAAAAGCTTACTGAATCTAACTGTATATGGTTAGCTTCTACTACTTGTACTCTTGAGAGAGCTGCTTGCGTTCCTTTTGAAGGACATGGGTTTGGATTATCTGTTCTTCCAGAGAGAGAGAGAGAGAGAGAGAGAGAGAGAACACAGTAGTTTACACTCCTCCATTGTTCATATTGATTTCATTGCACTGAGTAGTCCAGAATAAAACTAGAAAAATTGAAAGAGCTATACGGTGTCACTGACTGACCAAAGCTACTTTACATTTCTAAAAACACAGTGAAATATTAACGTTACCACATCATGAAAAAATGGCCACAGAAGCAGCCTAAACGTGTGAAAGTTGTGCAACATCTCAGAAAAGGAAGGAAAGGAAATGTGTGTCACACTCTTTGTATAGCAAGATGTTATTGTTTTACTTTTTTGGTGCCTAAACGGTATAAAAACCCATCCAAGATGTGCCGACTGTTCTGCCGTTTATTTAAACTGTGCGCGTGAGTGAGCGCTCGTGCGGGCGAGTGCTGCCTCTAATGGAGCGCAGGTGCGCGAGGCGGCAGCTTCTTCACCACCCGTATTCCGACAAACCCCTCCCCACTGCGCTGGGATTGGCTAGAAGTTCATACAGCAGTGCGCCAGCAGGGGGTTGTCGGAATACGAGTGGGAAATAGCTCAGCACAAAACCGCTGTTCTCACACTCATCTTTTTTCAGTGGAATCTCTTTTTCTTTGCCAATCACCTGGTAAATTAAGGTTAAACGACAAGGGATGTATTTAAAGGTGAATTCCACCGAGGTTTCCAAATTCCTACACAATTCAGTCAGATGCAGTCATTTTTCTGCTGGGTGTTGCAGTGATTGTTTGGGGTTCACACTATAATGTGATATAATCTTTTTCAAACTTTATACTACACATTTCCATTTATCATCATCATTGCATTATCAGTGTAATTATTGTCGACGTATTTTCAGTATTTAGCTCCAATAAACCCCGTGGCATATTTTTTGAGTGTGCATTAATCAGTTTTGTTTGTCTCAGTAAAGAGCTATACTATGCAGTATAAGTACGAATGAAACAATACTAGTAGTATTATTATTGAATTTAATTGAATTAAATAAACTTTACATCTTTACATTCATAGATAAGATAAATAAATAAAATACATAGTAAACACATGGCTCACCATGAATGATCATTGGTCAACCCGATGGCCTCAGGCACGAATGATGCTCTCCGCCGGACTGGCATCTAGGATGGCGATAATGGTTGCCCAGGGGCAACAACTCAAAGGCAGGAGGACATATGAAGCATCTTTAATGATAGAATGTTTTTTTAGAGCCTGTTGTTTATGTAATAAAGGCAGTGACCTTAGTGAAAGACCAATTAATATGGGGCAAATACATACAAGGCTCTGTAAACAGTTTCTATTTTTAACATTTAGAATTAAACCAGCATTTTGCTGTCAATTTATATTGCAGTTCATAATTCTGCTGTAATCTTAAATGCTTTGCTGTGTATCCAGAAACTCTATCTATTTGGAGAACTGAACTACTTTAAAGTGCACTCTTTGGTAACACTTGCATTCAGTTGCGCACACACAGCTTGTATATTTTCAATAGAAATTCACTGCTAATAGAATAGGAGCTGAACATAAGCCTAAGCCCACCATGCCCAGTGCTAAGCGCTGACTAGAGGGATAAAGCCCCCCCAGCATTGGGCTTTGTAGCAATGCAACTGCATTCTCTGGAGTAATGGAGCTCCATCTATTATCTTTGGGATCCAACATCAGTACCTGACCTCATTAATGCTCAAATCCTAATAGCGATGTTTCAGCGTCTAGTGTAAAGCCTTCCCAGAACAGTAGAGGCCATTACTGCAATAAAAAGGGGACACATTCTCTATTAATACCTTAATTCCAGAGGAAAAGTTAAATGAGCAAGTGTCTACAAACTTTTGGACACTACAGTGTCCCATTGATTTCAGCTTTTACGTGTCTTAAGCAGCTATTAGCTGGAAGGACATCTGCAAAACTGCTGTAATCTTCTCTGTGGCCTCATAGGGAGAAAAGGAGCTGTTTAGAGTCACAGTCAGATGACATCACATGGATGCATGTCTTCAGCAGTCCCGCAGAGACACAGTCAGGACCCCAATCAGAGCTGAGAACAGGGCAATTTGAACGCAATACTAATAGCAGTGATTTCAGATTCTGGTGTCCGGCCTGTTTTTCCTCCAGTGTGAGGCAAAAGCAACAGACGAGGGGCTTGAGTGAGTGTGTGTGTGTATGTGCAGGAAAATAAGTGGTTTAAGTGGTGCACAGTGTGTGAGTAAGCCCCCTTTTAGACCCTCTCTGATAAGAATCTGCCGGGTTTTCATTGCAGTCCAGCTAAATGTTTAGCTTCTTAAAAAGTGGATTTTTCTAAACGCACTAAATCTGACAGATTGCCTTGGGTTTGACCTACACCCTGACCTGCCTGCTTACTGATAAAGAACATAAATGCTTACTCACTCACTGTCACTCACACACAGACACTGTTTTTATAAGCCAAGTAAAGGGTAAAGGCCACAAAAATTACAATTAACATTGCAAGATAATCTCTTGCAACGCAATTAATAAGCCCTGAGAGAGAAAGCATAACAGCAAAACACACACAGGCACAGAAACGTTTTAAAGGAATGATTCGGTGAAATATCAAGCATACACAGTTTTCCACTTATTCCAGATGTAGGTGAGTTGCCAACACGTTTGGTGTCCAAGTTTTGCTTCATTACTTTTAAACTGGAGCTATGAGGCTAATCTTGCAAACAAACACTAGAAGTCAATGGTCACCCAAATTGTTTCTTTAAATACATCCCCAAAACTTGTCTCAAGGCTCAAACTACATACAGGTCGTCATTAAGATCTGTGGCTATAAAAATGAACAAAACCTCACTCTCCTCAGTTAGAGAATTCAAGATTGTTATTTTAAAAATCTAGCATCCATATGCCTGCATGATGTGCGCATGCAATGGCAGAATTGCAGCAATACATCTGTCATCATCATCATCTTCTTAAACTGCTTGATTCAACTAGGGTTGTAGGGTTGTGGTTGCAATAGGGAAAGCAGAGAAGCCCAGATGGCTCTGTCCCTCTCAACTTCCTCCAGCTCATTTAGGGGGATCCTGAGCTGCTCCCAGGCCAACTTGGAGATATAATCCTTTCAGCGGGTCCTGGGACGACCTCGGGATCTCGTCCCAGTCGGCCGTGCCTGGTAAATCTCCAGTGAGAGGTGGCCAGGGGGCATCCTAATCAGAAGTCCGAACCACCTCAACTGGCTTCTCTCAATGGGGACTGTACTTTGAACTCCTCCTGGATGACTGGGCTCCTCACCCTGTCAAATGGAGTGTGGTCCACAACCCTGCAAAGAAAGCTCATTTCCGTCACTTGTATCCGCAGTCTCATTCTTTCAGCCATTAACTTTTAGTGCTTATCAATGCTCAAAGGAAAATTAGGACACCAAACATCTTGGCTTGTCAACTACATCTAGGATAAGTGGAAAATGGTGTAATCAAACCATTCCTTATACCAAGAGTCAGAGCTCCACCTGACGATAAGTACATAACACACTCATATACATGCAGGCAAAAAGGTAGCAAAAGTCTGAGTGAGTGTGTGCAGGGTATGTGTGTGGGTGGGAGGTGGATGGTGCCCTGGTGGGGTTCATTCTGACCCCTACTCCATGAGATACATGCTTTTTTGTGTTTAGAGATGTTCAATTACACCCACACATGCATGCACACACACACACACACACTGCAGCTGGGAAATACACTCCCATGTGCACAAACACTCATACATAACAAAAAGAGAAGACACACACACTCACACACGGCTAGGAGTGTGCTCTTTGCTTTAGTTTCCGTGAATTTGCATTAATGAGTTTGTTTTTGCTGAGGTGCTCAGATGCTTGAGAAGCTTTTGATGAGGTTTAACTAAAAAATGTGTCATTATGAGGAATGTA